ATATCCGATTTATTACATTTTCATACAGGAGAGACATCTACAGTAACAGGAACTCACTGTGATCAGCACTGGGTAAAAATGAGTAAAAATAATAGTATTTTGTTCATTTTTTCCAAACTACAAATAAGTAAATTCAAAAATTGGGTGACATTTTATTTTGAGTGGTCCTTTTTAAATGAAACAAACACTCAACTGACTCACAGTAACATGCCAAAAACATATGAGGGTTAGGATTTGGGTTGAGGTTAAGGTTAGAGTTAGGATTAGGGCCAAGGTTAGGGTTAGGTTTTGGGTAAGGTTGGTAAGGTTAGGCTTTATGTAAAGGAAGTCTACTTGTATGTATCAACAGTACATCTTCAAGATATTTACTTGATATTTACGCTTCACTACTGCTTCACTGATATGTTGTTGATGTGTTACTGATAATCTGTTAAGAGCTTATTAATCATCCACAAAGGACCACTCCAAATAAAGTGTTACCAGAAGTTGAACCAATATAGGCATACAGCAATCTCTAAGAGCCTGACCTTCTGTTGTGCAGCACAGAGATTTACAGGCTGGCATTCCTGTCCAAAAACACATGAAAGTTTATTTTTTAAAGCAATGTTCTCGTCCACATCTGGAGTATTCTTATTACCGTAAATTACTTAACATGTACTGAAGCCCTGACAGAAGAGACAGCCCAATGGGAAACTGCCAGGTTCTGTTTATGTGAGCTGGAAGATGCCCATGATCGGCCAGCAGGGCTTTAAATCAAGCGCAGAACGTAACTAAATCATGCTTCACCCAGACAGCAAGAGTAACCCATTGTGCTCTTTTGGAATCCTGGCTATGGAGAGCTGTGGCGCTCTTGGGATTCATTTCTGAATGTGGTTTAGCTTGTTTTTCAGAATAAATGGATTTACACACTGAGCTGTTTTTCTGCCATCAAAAAATGTATTCGCGCATGTGTTTAATTTATGATTTTATTCATCCCCTGTCTGATTTTTGAGAACGTTTGCAGGTGAAGTAAACTCACCTGACCATTTACTGTTGTCTTGGCATAGTGCCTGCCAAGACGGTGCAGTGCCAATAACATTTATTTTTATACGAGGTCAGAAGGATTAGTTTTTTCTCTATATCGCCGTCTGTGGGGTAGTAACTTCAAACACAGCCCAAACTTTCAGCTCCTGTATGAGGTGGTGAAACTCCTGCTCCTCTCACTTTTCCAAAAAAGGAACCCAATGTTGGCGCTTATGAGGAACAAAGAACAGTTTATCAATTAAAAAAGACATATTGCTTGTGTTTCAAACGGCATCGCGAAAAATTTGTGCCGTTTGGTGTGCATAGTTTTGCCGTAGAAAAATGATTTTCCGATTTTAAACATTTTCATGTCGTTTATTTATGTTGTGTTCTGTTTGAAAAGGCCTTGATAATATTGCAGTTTCTGAATCAACAGCATGTCATGGTTAAAGACTGACCTGAATTATTTGGACCAAAATAATTTACTTTTGTTGGATTACATGAACATCATTTATCAAAACACAGAAACACTCATCTAGAACTGAGATTGGTCAGGATGATTACAGCACTCAGTAAACAACACTGATTAGCTAGAGAGCTAATTTACATGTTGTAGCCTTCCTCAGGACCTCTGTTTAAAAGACCAATATCACAATATCAACTAACAAATGTTGGGAGGGACTTGGAAAAAGAATACTATAGAACAGCATTACGAATACTGTTTTTTTAACACAACCGCAAAATATGTACCTAAAATATCCTAAGAAAATGGGTTCATATGCTGACAATGAATAGGACACTCAGGCATTTTAGTTTAGTTTTTAGTTTAGTAAGTCTCAAGTAATTAGGCCTGTGGTTTGTTTATGTTTTGACTTAATGTCCAGTGTTTCCAGTACAGACATTCTTTGAGACATGATGGTGGGGTTTAATCTTCCATTACTTATTAGTCATGTTAGCTTTCTTCAGAAACTACAGAACTAAAACACTGGTGACTTAGGCAAACAGTACGATGGAAGCGCATTGCATTGTCTCAGAGGACATTTATTGCTCATTATTGCTCATTTTCCCAAGCATCGTTTTACTGGTAAGGATGTGAGCAAGAAAATGACACCAGCTCAGGCTTATTACATACCAGCAATAGCAGCAATGAACCATGATGTCACTTCATGTGTGTGGTTTTCTCTAGAAGCATTTCTCAAAGCTGTGTTTCAGCATGACGATGGCTTTTCAAGGCTGATGTGGGTTTGGCAACTCGAAAAATAATATCACTGAAACAGTCTAAAGTAAATCTATATTATATTTTGTCTTGAAACAGTGATTGGCAACTTTGCTGCTTGAGCCTTGGGTTCACTACATGACTTTTAAAGTCTTAACAGGTTATAAAAAGACTGGGCATCTCACCCCCATGTGTGAAAACCACAAGGCCCACGGGTCAGATAAGGCCCGCCACACAATCCTATCCGGCCTGCAAAAGTATTTTAATTTTATATTAATGTTAGCCCATTTCACAGTGCGCTGCACTACAATCCCCGGCATGCACTGCAACGTAATGTGCTCCCACTCTCCTAACAACAGTCTATGGGACAGCGGTTACATCTCAGTTCTACACAATTCTGCGCAATTCCACACCACCAAAATGCATTTCAGCTGCAGTTTAACCGATATAAACACTTAACATCAACTCAGCAGCTCAGACATTGAGCTCAAGAATTAATGAACTTGCAGTAAAGAAAGGACACCAGGTGTCTAGTTCAAGCAAACAGGTAGGTTTAAAAGACTGAACTCCTAAATTTTATGTAATATTGTTATGTTATGTTTGTATTGTACTGTTGAAGTTTTGCATATTTTGAATATACAGTGGCCAGTTCAGTTTACAGCACAACATTAACTAAAAATTAAATAAAAACAATTTTGTCTGGCCCACAGATTTGAAGAGATTTTTTAATATGGCCCTTTTACTGGTTGAGTTCGACACCCCTGCAATAAACGATTAGGGACCACACGCTACTCCACTTTTAAACTGTTGCTGAACCGAACGGGACTCATTGAACTCGCCCCAACTCTCGCAAACTCTCGCGTTCTCCCGTTACTCAGAGACCCAAATAAAGAAACATGGAGCTGCTGCTGCTGTTTTCTCTGTCGTTTGCGTTGACGCAGTAAAGAAGCAGCAGGTAAACATGTTTAAGTGATGCTCACGGGTTTAAAAATGTGATCAGTGTGGTGTTTTTTTTTGAGGTTTTAGAATCAACTAGCACAGACTCCGTCAGACTGAGAATCTGGGTTAAAATTGGGGTCAAAGTTGTGTAGTGTAAACCCGGCTTTAACTGTACGCGCTGGTTTAACTGGTGCAAAAGACTCGATTTGATAGAAGCAGCCATAAAATGAATAGATGATAAGACCGTGGACAACTGTGCCATTCCACATAAACATGAGCTGTCTCAGCATGTTTGGGCCGTCATGTATCTCTACATTTCCCAATACAAACGACGTCAGCAGCGAGACAATTACAGAGCGTCAATGACACAGAAATGAAGACCCCTCGGATATGTTTAAACATGTTCCTGAAGTAGCGGTTGGGAAATAGCAGGTTGGTTTAGCACATACAGATAACAGCGCAGTGAACTGTGACCCAAAAAACCTCACTGTGAACCATCACCTCATGTCTGGATGCTCCTATGTACCCTCTTCATGAGGAGACTGCCCTCTTTTTACTTCTCTCGCACACTTTTTTCTTGCTTCCCTTTCCAATTTTTAACAGGATCCCATTGGATTTAAGTCAAACTCACTAAATTTTCCCCCACATGCTGGTGACCTAATAAAATGCTCGGTGTCTGAAATTTGCTTCTTTAGTTTTGCACCGGAGCTACAAGGCTAACGCAGCTAACAAGCATTGAAAGGCTATGTACAAACAGAACTTAAACCATCACAGACTCGCCTCAGGTAGCTGCCTTGATGAGGTTTTAAGTAAATATATCAAATAAACAGATTTTCTTATGTGTAACACTTTATTTGGAAAGTTCACTTTAGAAGCTTTGTAGATACTTAATTTACTTTGAAGTTACATTCAACCAAATATCTGTTAAATTGACCACAATTTTCTTTAAACCTGGCTCTAATCCTAACCCTAACATTAACCTCAACCCAAAACCTAAACCCTGGTCCAAATCCTAATCCTAACCCCACTACTGTTATCTGTTGAAACTGAGCTTCAACAGATAGTTTGTGAACAATTTGAACATCTGTAGATAATCTATAAGGGACTATAGTGGACTGTCCAAATAAAGTGAGACCTTCTTATGTAATTTCTGTCACTGCACAACTCTTATGTATTATGTATTTATCAAGATGCGTTGCACTTTTCCCCATTTTATGCAAAAGTTTAAACAACCCTGATCCAATGATACGTTTTGTTGATTTTCTGAGTGAAGATAAGTTAACACATCCTCCACAGGGAACAAAGCTAAATAAGGTATTTTTCTGCACATTTTAGTGCACAGTTTCTAGTTCTTTGCCAAGTTTAACATATTGGAATAAAATAAATCATACAGTATAAAATGTGCCATAACTTTTGCACCAGACACATTATGTTTGATTTTTCCCAATATGTCAAATCCATCAAATAAACTGTGCATTAGAATGTGCGAAGCTGCCTTCTCTGTACTTGTTTTCAATTAGAAAATCAACAAACGTCATGTGACCAGGGGGGCCCAAATATTTCCATATGACTAATAACAGCGTCACAGTGTCAGGAAACACAAAACCGAAGAACATAGTTTAAGGCAAATGTGTGATGATTCAGGCATGCTCTTTGCACAATGCTAATTGGTGTACATAAGCCTCTATTACTTGTTAGCTACATTAGCCTCGTAGCTCAGACTTCAGACACCAATAATGTTTTGGCCGTCTGACTATATTTGGGGTAAGAGGGGAGAAGTGTAAAACTGTAAGATTAGATTTTTTGCAGAACTCACACTAAAGCTACTAAAACAAACACTCACCACACTCTTTGGCCGCTTTGATGCACAGCTCCTCTGCCACGTAATCTCCCGGTGGATAAGTGAGCGGGGGACAGTCGCTGGTGCCCTGGCCTTGGCCCTGGCCTTTGTAGTAGAGGTGAACCTGCAGGGCAGCGCTGGAAGCCAGCTTGAGTGGCAGCACATCTCCGTTCTGGTGAGGAGGACTGGGACACGACGAGGTTTCCATGGTGACAAATGTGGTCCAGGCCATGTGTGGTCACGCTGTATCACCCACCTGCAGGGCAGAGGAGAGGGGGAGTCATTATTTTGGAAAATGAAGCTAAAGTGAGCTCAATACGATATTGAACTGTGCCAGGATTGGCAAACAAATAAGATTTTATTAAGGCAACCCACAATTCACAAAGTTAATCCTTAGAAGTCCAGAGATATTTCTGTGCTTTGGTTGTAGTGTTTAAATGTAATTATACAACAGTTCGTTCCGGCCACGCAAGCTGATTGGTTGAGAAGTGTTCTAACTGTGCTGATATTTCACCATAACAGCACGTTTCTTTCACAAACACTGTATCACTCCGCAGAGACGTCGACTTTGACAGCTGTAGGAGACGCTCAAGCCATTTCAACGTTTTTACTTCTTACTTTGCCACAAACAGAAAATGGATACTTTTAAGATCACATTTGACCGACAGCCGATTTGGTCAGACTCTGAAGACGAGACTACACTAAATTCCCAAACTGTCATCACCACTGAGCAGCTTTTCAGTCGGCAGCTGAGACAGAAGAACAGCTAAACAACCTGCAATCAGCCAGAAATGAACCCAACACCATTCGCCAAACTAAATGGGCTGTAAGATGCTTTACAGACTGGCTGGAACAAAACAACATTAATACTGATCTGGCAAAAACTGACAAAACTGAGCTAAACTTGATATTGCTGCAGTTTAATGGCTCAGTCCAATTTGGTCCGACTCTGAAGATCAGACTACATGTTTGGCAAATGGTATTCGGTTAATTTCTGGCTAATTCCAGGTTGTTTAGCTGTTCTTCTGTCTCAGCTGCCGATTGAAAAGCTGCTCAGTGGTGATGACAGTTTGGGAATTTAGTGTATGGAGCTGGAGAACGAACTGCCAGCTGTGCAGCGAGCTGCTTGTTAAGGAACTATAATTTGGTGGAAGGAACTGCGAACATTAAAACATATTAAATGCCGCGGTCACGGCCCAGTTTTATTTCTTAATTTTTTTGTTTAACTGTTGTATAAAAACAAGAGAACACTCGATGTCGTGTTATCATGAATAACATCACGGCTGTGATGTTATTTCGCAATAACACACTCCATCTCATGTTCTATTGCTTAATTACATAACCACATAGTTACACAATCAACTGCATTTACATTGAATTTACATCCCATATGGATAGATTTTAACCGGCATTTCTGATTTTTCTGTTTTGTTTTTGCTTTTCCCCCCAAAAAAAAAATAATGGCAAAAACATGGTACAAATGTTTTGCCTGCAAGACTTACAAAAAGACATACAAATGAATTTGCATTGAACTGATTTGTGCTTTCCATAGAACGGTTTCAATAAGTTATGAGTAAGAAATAATTAATATAAAATTACAGCATGCTTTTTTAATGCTGGCAACATCAGGAAGATCACTAACCAGGACTGATCACTAATGAATAAACAGAGCATCTCAGCGCCAGTTTGTAAAAACTGGTACTCCATAGCGTCTGTGACTCATCTCCCTTCACATGAACTACAGCAGGAACACACAGCTGAATCAGGCTTATTGATTCTGGTTTAGCTCCTGTCGTAACTCCACAGACAGACAACAAAGCGCTTGTGTAATGAAAGATATTTCCTATGGCAAAATTCCAAAGAGCCTAGTAAAGAGAAGTGCCGGGCAGTGTGGATAATATCACAATACTTTTAATATCAATTTCACAACACTGTCCAAACATATCACGGTACTGATTATATTAAAGTTTGCATTAGAAAAGTTAATGAACCCATGGTTCCACTGCACTTGAGTAGAGGTTTCTCTTGTAATGACACCAAAGGGAGCCTTATCCACTACCATAAATGTCAATGAGACGAAGGAAACATACGTTTTATTTAGATTTACACCGCATGTAATTAAGTTATCTGGCTGCCTTACCATTTCAGGGCTAACAGTAAGTTAACGATCTGTATCTTGAATTCTGTTAACTTATTTGAAGTTCAATAAATAAAGCAATAAGCCATGAGAGTCTGTGCTTTACAGTGACTGTACCACAAGTAACATGTGTTGTTAGGCAATCACTAACACACAGTCTCAAATGGTTTATTGCTTTAATAAAACAGTGACCATATACAATTTGACAAAGCACATAAATGTTCAATAAATTATTCATCATTAAAGATAATAATCTTCCACCAAGTTTGTTTAGAGTAGACTATTGTTGTCAAGCATCCATAGGGAACCTTTGGGCACTTATCATTGCATTTCACAGCCATTTGCTGAACTTTTTGTGTTATATTCATGAACATATAATATAGCAGTGTTAAATGTAGAAAGTGTCATCTTATAAGTAGCTTTTCCTTATCAAAATTACCACTGCAATGATAACACTAACTTCCATTAGTGCCCATGTGATTGTCTGTATTGTGTTAGCATTATGCTAATGGTGTGTTTCCCACACTGGATTTAATACTATTTGAGACAGATCTACCAAAAACAAACATTTGAAGCACGCAAGACATTGAAGTAATGTACTCTTCCCAGGATGTACAGAGTGTGAACTGCTTATAAGTTTACATACCCCGGGCATTTTGGTTAAAAAATTACTTTTTAATGGAAACAACAGCATCATAACAACACTACAAGTGTTGTGATGTATGAACTATCTACATTTACACTAATCACTCTGGTAATGGGCACGGCAGTGTTTAATAAACAAAAAATATCTGAAAATAGAAGGTGTCTTAAGTTTACACACTCTTAAGTTGGGCCTGTTATTGCACACTGAAGTTAATTTGCCGTGAAGGTCAATATAGTAATCTGCTTTAGTCATAAGAATCTGCAATGGTGCCATCTTGAAAGCTCTCTAAATAAAAAAAGCAATAAAAACATGTGAAAAGCTAAAGAACTGTCAAACAAAAAGGACTGGTTCTGTGAGCTTTGGTTTTGCTGTCCTCATTCATTTCACCCCAGACTTAGTCACAACACGGGGAGAAAAACAGTCTATTTCCATAAACATGCCAAAGAGCCACAGAGCGGAACCACTCGCACAAAACTCACTGCGGTTTCAGACACTGGGCAGAAGGACAGTGTTCCCCTCAGGGCCTTTTTAACCTCAGGTTAACCCCTTAAACTCTAAAGGTGGGTTTCTTGGATAGTGATTAAGCGGACCACAGAGCATTCTGAGTAAAGACTCGCCACTGAAAGGACAACACAGTCCAGGACTAGGCTTGATTCCGGTCTGGGACACCAACCCTAAGGGTCCGCATGTGGGCCCACGCTTCAATTCCTCATAACTACTTGAAAAAAATAACACTTAAAATTCTGTGTAATGATACAGCTTTTAAAAGAGCATCTCCAACTTTGTTTTTGTTTGCTACCACGTTTTCTATCAGTAAAGAGAGGCGTGTTCTCTGTAGAGGACGTTATTATGTTCACTTAGGCTACATGACTTTTAACATCTTAAAAGATTGCTAAAAGAGAGAGCATCACAAACTTAACACCAGTTTGTCTTGCCTTTTTGTCGTGAGGGCGTTCACACTAGACCACAAGGCAAAGAAAGAGTTTAACACACATAATGTGTTTGGGCTACGAATAAGAACTCAAACTCCCAGATCTCCACAGATCACATGATTTAAACAAAGCTAAACTTACAGGACCGGATTTGTTTTGTGCTTTTATGCACAGCGAAAGTGTAAACTGGGGTTTAATATGTGGTGAAAACCCTGATATCACACCGTGAGCTGGAGAAACGTTTCAGTACAAACTGGCGGCTTGACTTGACTTGAAATTGTAAAGAGAGTGACGTGACCTCTGGATCCAACATTATAAACATGATAGCGGCTCTTATTTGCCTGTGTTTTACACTCAGCTCCTCTGTCTCCGCTGTTCAGGTGGTGTGCATGCACAACTCTTTACCATTTCCTCTGCTCTTGTAGCTCTCAGACTGGCTGTTTGAATCACTTGTTGAGTAAATCTCTAACCTTCTACAGGACTCATGAAATAATAAACATGTTTGGTAATATCTCAGGGCCTCTGATCACTTCAGAGTTTGATTGGAGGGCTAAAGATTGACTCGTTTATCCTCTCACATCACCAGATCACCCGCGCCATCAGTCGCTTCCGATCAACCTTATGACCTGGAAAATCGCTTCTGATTGTGAAAATTTGTCACAAGGGGCATATCAGGGTTAAAATCGGGCAAAAAAATGTGTAGTGTAGGCCTCAGAAAATCAACAAAACAAGTAATTTTAAAACTTGTTGAAACTGTCAAAAAATGCAGTAAGAGAATTGATTTATCATCAGCCAGAAAGAGACAAAACGGTCAAACAGTGAGTGATAATCGGTCAATAATCACTCAATAATCGGATTTCTGCAGTTATCTGGTTACTCAAACTCATGTAAACAGCACACTCCATTTTTTTTAGATCAGAGTAAGGTCTAGAAATCCGATTAAGAGGCTGGATTTTAGCTCAGTAATCAGATTTCTCAGTGCACGTAAACTCTTACTCTGATTTCTTTCGGATTTCTCAGTCTGCGCACGTGTGAAACAGACCACAGTACTGGAAATAAGCGAGCAGTGTTGCCCCGAGACGCAGCAAAACACTTTATGAGCGACCCTGAAACCAAATACATGCTTGACAAAATAAAGGATTTAAATATTCTTCAACTTCTAGATGATGTAAGTTCATATTTTCAGGAAAAGTGGCGCAATTTTCAAAAAAAAAAGCCGCAGCATGAAGTTCGAGTTTTACATTGCGTTTACGTCGCGTCTTCTTCTGTGAGTTTATTGGCTGGTTGCGAAGCAGACATCTGATTACTGTCTGACTCATGTAAACCTGGAGTTTTCCCATTATCTGATTACTCAAGTGTATGTAAACAAATTGATTGGACTATTGACAAAATCAGATTTTCTGCAGTTATCGGATTATTAAGTGCATGTAAACGCACTCAGTAACAGCGTTGCACAGAAAACCCGGATGTTGAAGACGGACCAGTATAAATACTACGCAGTTAAAACGGTTATCTTTGCTTCAAGTTCATACATAATAAAG